TATATATATATATATATATATATATATATATATATATATACCATTAGACCATATATACCAGAGACTTAGGAATTTGATCATCGATGTGAAAATTCCTAGTGGAAGTAAAATTAGCTTGAGGATATTTTTTTTTCATTCAGCTTGGAAAAGAAAAAATTTTTTATCATCCAATGGACAAGTCTACTAAGGAAAAAAAGTCTGAACATGAGTGAAATTTTTTTTTCGTCACAAAGCCCGGTATACCGCGATCTAACCGAGCTTTGCTCGGTTAGATCACGGTTTACGGGCCTTCTGACGAAAAATTGCATTCATGACTAGGTCCACAAAGTATTTTCTGTCGAGCCGAAGGCGAGGCCTATAAAGCCACATTCGTCAGAAAATAATTTGTGGACCTTGTGATGAAAATAACTATTACGTAAAGCGCGTATATTTGTACTTAACTTGAGGCACATTGTCTCTTATTCCAAGGAAATCTTGGTTATGGAATCCAGAACTTTTGAGCTCTCAAAATAAGAACCTTGACGTTCTTGAATTAAGAACATCCAAGTTCTCAGATTAAGAACATTCTCGTTCTTGAATTGATGATTTTTCAAGTTCTACAACTAATCTACTCATGTTTATAAATTCTTCGTTATTCAAAAAATATCATCTAACATCTCAAACTCAATTAATGTTGAATTAATTTTCAATTTTTCCAAAATTTCATCTCTTCCGAACGTTTCTAGTTTATGAATGCAAAGGTTCTTGATTCAAAAAGACAAAATCTTGATTTAAGAGTTTTTCTCACTTGAATCAAACAAGTTTGTTTAATGAAATTGAGTATCCAATTTCTTATTCTTAGTGAAATGGTTTCTGAAACCATCAGTTTCTTCAAATCAGTAACTTCGTTCGGAAAACTATAAATTTTTTTCTCTATGAGCGTATGAATGACTGTTAGAAAAAAATTGAAATTTAATGGACAATTTATCAGTAACTTTTAGGAGAACGGTATTGAATTCGAACGTGAAGGAAAATAAATCGTCCCTAGTTACATAGAGACGTTGAATATTTCAACATAAAGAAAATTAATGTAGTCATGTAATTTTTGAGATATTGAAAATATTTTTGAGAAATTGCTGTGCATATCTTTAAAACTACTTCACCGATAGAGCTGAAATTTTGCAGAAAAGTACTCGCGAATAGTATTGATTACTAATTGTGAAACAAAATTTCAGATTTTTAGCTTGGCCTTTACTCCTTTTTACGTGAAGATTTATAAAAAATTTCCAAAAAATCCGTCACACATACATACACACATTTTCTAAGAACATCATATTTTCACACTATCGTGAAATGGTCGAAATCAATGATCACAAAGCTTTCATTCAACAGCCAAAGTCATTTAATTTAAAATTTCACTCAATATTCAATCTAATTCCAAATTTTCGCAGCAGCAGCGAGACAAAAATTCCTCAACTTACTTGAATTTTCAATAAAAATTTCAATACTCAGTACCACATTACGGTGGATTTTCCGATTTCTATCAATTTTCATGGAATAATTGAAACGAAATTTTCAGTTTTCATTAAGTTTTTCATCAAATTATGACTTTCAATGACGAAATTCCTATAAAAAGTGTACCGGAAATGGGGCTCAATGTCATAATATTGTCCACATGTTACGACATAAACATATTGAAATTATTCATCCATTTTTCCACTAATTACAATTCAGTTCAATCCTCTCGCGTGCAAGCAAAATTTTGAAAGAAAAAAATTTTTTTTTATGATAGTAATTTTGTTTTTTTTTCCGTTCATGTAAACAGAGAAGCTGCACGTGAATGTCGAAGAAAGAAGAAAGAGTACATAAAATGCCTGGAGAATCGCGTAGCAGTGTTAGAAAATCGAAATCAAACCCTCATAGACGAGCTTAAGTCGCTGAAAGAGCTCTACCAGCAGAAAACCGACTGAGACCGGCATCCAACCATTTGGGTACGTAATCCGATGAAATTCTATTTCTCGCCCCTTGTATGCTCGTTGTTGTCGTCCACTTCAGCATAATGGGATCCTTACATGTCCCGAAATAAAATTTTTCTTCTCAGAAAAAAAGCCAACAAAACACAAAAAAAGATGAAAAATGTGAAGTTGACAAGTTCAACATAAATCGTATAAGTGTTTCTGTATAATATTGTATTTATGTATCGACGTACGATGAAAATGATTTTTAAATGAGTTCTGAAAGGCTTGTGAAACTTGCTGTTGAGTCATTGTGAAAAGCCAAAGGTGGATTTTTTGAGGCGAGAATCAAGTGACAGAATTTGGGGATTTTTGAAGGAATGATTTTTCAAAGGGCTCTTCATGGAGGAAATCGAGCTCCAAGGAATTTTTTCTAGATTCTTTTGGTCTTGAAATAAAGGTACAAAAATTGTGGGGTCAATTGACATTCATTCTCGATTTTTATACATACAAGTGTTAAAAAAGTGTACTTTTTCGCATGTACACTGATACCTTCTCCTGGAAAAATACTTCATGGATCAATACTGAAAAATTTATTCGTGAATTAATAACATAGTGATCCTCAAGGTATATCCCTAGAAAACACGTTTTTCTGAAGATTGATCCCATGTTTCTTGTAGATAATGTTTATAATAGCCCGCAGCTATTGAAAAAAATGCTAAATAGTTGTACTACACAGTTTAGGAGATAATAAATAATGAAATGCGGGCTTCTAACACCCAAGTCATAAGCCAAACAGGGTTATGGGTCCCCCGAACTCGATTTTTCCATCTTATGAGAAGCCGGTTCTTACGGTGTTTTTAAAAAACTAATCCGTGATAGATTGATAGATTCCGAATACGGTAAATTTTTTGTAAAATTTTGTATTACATAGTTTCTGCGACATTCAACTCCAAAAAATGGCAATTTCGTGAAAGCATTTCTTATTTGATCCAAAAAATTTATTCACGAATAATTTCTTATTTAATTTAAACATTTATTATTCCGTGCAAGTATATGACGATAGAAAACCTCATAATAAATAACTTATGAGAATGCAATAAATTAAGTTATTTAGCATTTTTTCTGAAAATCCATAGAGACTAACTTTTGGGCCCGATTGTCTTGGGATATACCTTAAATGAAGAACATTGTTATTCTTCTGTTCGAAAGCATAATCACATGAAAGGTGGCAGGTGGAACCATTGATAAGGCAGGGAAAATTGACCCTAGATTTAAAAAAAAGACCATTTGTACTAGTCGAAAAATTTCCTAGTTGATGAAATGGGTAGGCGGAAAAAATGACGGAAAATGTCCGGCCATTTTGTCGTCCACCACACATGACGCGTGTTACTACCCATCAGCTGTATTTTCGTATATTCGATGAAATGAATTTGTCTAATATTTTAGAAACTATTGGTTGAAAATAGATTGTATTTCTCCGAATTTAGAGTATAGAGTAAGAAAGCCTTCTTCGCAAATTACGGGATAGAGTTTTTGATAAAAGAAGCCGAATTTTTCATTCAAGTCAACTCTCTTCAGTTCAAAGTATCTTTTTTTCCTGTGTAGTAATATAACGTACGATTTCCCACTTGTACACTATTTACTATTTGATTTATCTCCTCTGATTTTTTGAAAAATTTCTTATGTGACTATAATTCTGCTGTGAAATTTGACATTTCCGAAATAAGTTATTCAAGAAAACAAATGTTTCTCGATATTTTTTATAGAGGAGGAAATTTGTGATTAAATTTTGAATGTCGTGGGACATTTCCTCCCAAAATCACTCGTGAAAATACTGACCGATACGCTACTGCGTATCTCGATACAGTAGACTCTCGATAACTGTCCTCCCGTTAACTGTCGCGTTTTCGGGAATTTCTCGGTTTCAAGCGTTTTTCGCGGAACGTAAACATCCCCCACTCGCACGCCTCGATTCCTTGCAGTTTTCCCTAAAATCCGCCCCTAATCGTGTCACGTGCTCAGTTGTTTCTATCTCCATAAACTAAACCAGAAGAACACGAATAAAATAAATCCCCTCTCCACATGTATATTACCACTAGTTCCTTTAAATTTCGGGGAATCGATGCGTGGAGCGGGGGCCGTTTTTAAGTGTCGCTTTCGCGGAACTGCGATCGATATTGGTCCTGACGAGCGACAGTTAACGGGAGTCTACTGTATATGTATTTATGTCATTGGGCCCGAAAACCTCGATCTAACCGAGCAAAGCGAGGGTAGAATATCGTATGTCACACGGCGATGAAAGTTTTATCTGGGAGCCTATTCTCGACCCAGGATTGTACGGTCGTATGAAAGCCCGTCGTAAACGGAAGCGCTCCGTGTGCGGTGGGGTCCGTACGATTTGAAACCATCGTATGCGACTTTGGCTCCGTACGCTCGCATGCGATTTTCACTCGGCGTTCGGTTTCGTATGACGGTTTGACGCGACTTAACCTCACACTTTGACATTCCCCTGAGACTGTGATTATTTACGTAAAAATTACTGTAATTATTCACGTAACAGTACGTAACAATTACTGCGTTGAAAACGAATGCAGAAAAGAATAATGTATAAATAATCACAGTCCCAGGGGAATGTCAGAGTGTGAGATTAAGACGCGTCAAACCGTCATACGAAACCGAGCGCCGAGTGAAAATCGCATGGGAGCGTACGGAGCCCAAGTCGCATACGACGGTCTCAAACCGTACGGACCCCACCGCACACGGAGCGCCGCCGTTCACGATGGGCTTTCATACGACCGTGCAATCCTGGGTCGAGAATAGGCTCCCTGGCGAATGTGGCTTTATAATCCAAGCCGAAGGCGAGGATTATAATCCCATTCGCCAGATAATACTTTTATCGTCTGATGGAATAATATACTATTTCTCCACATTGATAGAAGAAGGAACATGAACACTTGAAAAGAGCAGAAGAAAAAAAAAAGATCAACTCTTAGTTTCTACTTCACTTTCATCCGAAATTGAATACATACAACAATATAATTTTACTAGCTCAAAATTAATAAAAAAAGAAGAAAAGTCATTTTAAGATATTTCAGGAAGATGGGACGAATTGATATTTTCGCGGAGTATTTTCTTGACGAAATGACCTATCGCCCAAAACGGAGTCCCTTCATTCTTTGGCACATGTAATTTTTTGCATTGAGATTTTGCCTACAGAATTTGGAATTCTCACGTTCTAATTACACCATATACATATTAAATTCAGTAAAATTATTAATTTACCAGTCCAATAACATTGTGCAATCTGAATTCTATTCAATTTATTGGGCACAATTAGACATGTGCGATTCAAGTATGTGCAGTTGAAGAAAAATTGAAAGGATTTCGTTGTGTATACTAGGTTCTTCTGTCACGAACGTCCCTGTCGATGTTGAAGTATCTCATTGTGAACATAATTTTTTGGATTCAGATCCCATAGATCGCATTTTCGAACATAAAACGATAACGCGGGGTTGGTCTGCCCATTCCGAGTTATCGACATTAAAATCGTCCTTTCTTCTTCCACGCATTGGATCTCAGTTGACAGTACCGAGGTCTAAGTCTAATATTTTCCAATTTTGAAGATTTCCTAGAGAAAACCTCCTAAAATAAACAGCAAAAATCCCCAACGAAAATACAGAAAAAAAGAATAATATTTACATTAAAAAATCTGCTGCATTGCAGTCCAACCTTAAAAAAAAACAAAATAAATAATTAATCTGGGGAATGTAATAAAGTCATGGACATCACCACTGTAAAATAGTGAAAAAAAAGTGTAAAATATTTAAGAAGAAAAATGAAAAAATGGAAAAATAAAAAGTGAAAGAAAATAAAAACAAGAGAAAAAATTAAATAAAGATAAATAAAAAAACATCAGGAGTGCCTTGAAGATTGCAGTATATACATATATGTTTACGTATGAGTTATATGTATGTAACAATATAAAAAAAAAGAATAATATTAATCTTTGAATAGGGAAGGTTGAGAAAAGAATTATTTTGAGATGAAAAAACGAGAGAGAAAAATGTATAAACTAAGGAAAAAAGTACTTTATTTGAAGAAAATGCGAATGTTCATTGCCATTGGGAAGCTGAGGAAATTTCCAATGAAAAACATTACGAAATAGTCCATTTTCACAGTCGATACAAGAAAACAAAGTTTTTTTTGTGAAAAATATTGAAATTTGCTCTATCTTCAGAACGAATAGACGAACAGCTAACGGAATCGGAAATTTTCTCAGAAATCCACTGGTGACCTCGAATAACTCATTACTCACATGAGATTGACGAGAATGGCGATGACGTGGATACGAGGAATTAGTTAAGGGAAGGAAATGATTTGAAAAAAAAACGCAAATTGCCGTCGCTATAAATAGCGTTGAAAAGCTGGAGAAATTTCTGATCTCATGAGGTACCTTTGACTCTCATTTCGTAGAATAGTTCATGAGAAAATTACAGAAAACCATTGTTCATAATTCAAATTGGAAAAAAAACTCAAATAACTCGAGAATTAATGAATGAAAAATAGTTGAACTATCATATGGGATCGAAAGTTTTCCTGAACATCCGGTGGCCACATAGAGAATTCCTCGAATGTAAAAATTTCTATTAATTAAAGTTCCAACCATCATTTCTAAATTTCACTTAACTAATGAACGTTCCTCTACCCTTGAAAAATACACCAAACGATTTGACGAATATTAACTCATGTGATGGTGTCATCGGAGCGTGTGTGTCATATTTGTTAAAAAAAAAGAAAGTCATGATCAAAGCGAAAAAAAAATTGATGGATATAAAAGAAATAATCATGAATTTGTTCCAGTTTTTCTCTAGCCTTGTAGATTAATTAAACAAACGAAAAAAACACTGTTTCGTATGTAATTTGTACTATTGTCTGTCTACGAATGTCCAGTTCGTACCTCCGCTGTCCCTCCAAGCGAATTTATCCATAAAAGAAATGAATTTTTGTCCAAGTCGATTCGTCGGAGTAATGAAATGGAATGATATAGAGTAAATTGTCTTGAATAGAGCTGAGAAAAATTCAGATGCAATTCATGGCAAAAATCTTTCTTTACCTGCAGTAAAATCGATAGGAAATAGATATCTTCCTGATATCAATCCTGGAAATCGAAAATTTCTTAATACCTATTCAGTAAAAATTGTGAGAATAATTTCTCATCATTTCGACGAATCGATAAATAAATAAAAAGAAGAAATTAAGATAATGAAGAAAAAAACAAATATGATTATATGTATGATATATGTATATCTTGGTTGCTGCACCGATCATATTATAAAGTATTGTATATAGATAATATATGTATTTTTACATATCATTGGCCTTCTTGAAAGAATTAACAAATATAGCTTTTAATTCTATTATTGGAAATCCATTTAACTAAGAGAGCTCAATCTCTGGGTTTGAATTATAAATCTCCAGTGTTTCAAATAGCTTATATCACTAACAAATTATATTCCTTCTAATGAAAATATCACGATTCTTTAGGCAAGTCTCTTGGGAAATCTTCAGAGATGATTCCGCTCATTTCCAATGTCTAAAAAACAACGACAAACATCGATTACTTCTGAATTTCGAAAGATTATTGATTGCTAAAGATCTTATTTACTGACCTGGTAAGCTGAGAAGAACCTTTTACTCCCTGAGATGAACTTGAAGCTGTAATCGAGCGATTAAAACCGTTAGTAAAGATGTCAATTAGTTTTTTTTTCAAGGTGAAAGAAAGAAAATGAGATTCACTTTTTCGTTTTGACGAGTTTGTGTTCTTTTTTGGTTTTCCTCCGCAGATGAGGTCGTTCAGAAGTCTCGGCCCTGATTTCGCTTTGGGTGGACTAGGCTTCGCGAGCTTCTCATTTTTCATATTATAGACTGCTGTACGGTAGACTACCTCCATCGGTTGCTTCTTGGTCCTACAATCCAGAAAACAAAAATATAAATTACAAAATCGATTAAATCAAGGGGATTATTTCGATAATTCCCATTTGTTGAAGCTTTTCCTCGACTTGAAAAAAATTAACTAGTAATTAGGAGCGTTCAAATATTACATCACGCGATTAGGGGGGGGGGGGGCAGAGTCTGCATTTC